TAGGTAAGGGGGTGTTTCAAGGCACTTCTTGCCTGAGAGTTTGATTTCCAGGATTTGGGCCCGTGTTTGTGTCTGAAAGTGTTGCGCTGTGTGTGTGAGCATGCTTGTTTGCAAAGGGGAGGTGTGCTCTCCAAAGAGAGAGATAAGGAGTCTGTGTCATCAGAACCTGAGCTGCTGTCCTAGGCACCAGCGTTTTTTGTTGTTTGCTTTTCCTAGTACCTCAGGTGAAGTTGCAGTTAATCTACCAGGTTTCTGAAAGCGTCAGCTGGTTTTTTTCAGCTTATGAATTCTTGGGCTGCGCAAGAGATGTCTTTTTTTACTGAATTCTCTCCTGTTACCTTTTTTCATATGTTCAGATCAGCATTGTAGTACATGTAATGCGTATTTTCATTGTGAGTGTTCTTCCTGCTTAAATGTCTTCCTCGTGCTATGTCTAATGTCAGTCTTGTTCCAAATGGGGAATGGAGAGACATATGTGCAATGAACTGAAGTCATGCTACTTAGCAGAGCCTCAAATCTTCTGATTATCTTTCCAACTGCAGGGGAGGTATGACTAGAGCGATGCTTCATTTTTGAAGAAATTCATAGGTAAACTAATACCCATTTTTAGACAGTGTTCTCTAGCTGCTCTGAGAGTAATTCCCTTCTGTCCGACTCCCGGCCCTTCAAACTGCTGCTCTCAGCTTAATGACGCTAAATAGCTTTGGCTAGCAATCAAGTAAAATGCCGACACTGAGCATCACTGGCTTCCTCGGTTGTGGTTCAGCTCATCTAGTTGCAGAACCATATGCACTTGCTTTTCCTTTAGCTGTGTCTAAGGAATTCAGCGGAGTGTCAAGTGTCAGGAGGAAGGAGAGATTAGGAAGAGAGCGTATATGCGGGTGCAGAGAAATCTGTTAGGACCTGTTTGCAAATGCAAGCAGAAAGGGCCTGGCTTCTCATCAAATCAGTTCAGACACACTTAAGTGTGTGTTTTGAATGCTGTCAGCTCTGTGTTACTAAAAAATGGAAGGTCACTAGTAGTAAAAAGACACGCTACTCATGATCCTTGAGTTTTGTATTCAAGAGTATGTTGCACACTTGCGTGTTTTAATTGAGCACGAGGTATGAAACACTCCTCAGTTAAACAAAATAAAACAAACATCTTGGGTTCTATATTGATTTGGAAAATAATTTTTTAAAAGGGGGAGTTCGGGTAACTTGGGCTTTGTATAGAGAGTATTCGCATCTCTAACATATCTTCTTCACACCAAGTAGTACAAAAACTGTACAGATTTGCCAGTAAATGCGGGGTGGGGGGGTTAACTTTCATTAACCAAGCAAACTGTAATAAACTACCTGTGCTAAACCAAGATGAAAATATGCAGACCCTTTCATGCTGGGTTCATTATGAAGATGCTTCAACTTTACATGACTTGCATCAATTTCCTCTCCTACCATGTTAAAACTTCTACATATAAGGAAAGGTACATTTTTCTATTGAAGACTATAACTTCAGTGCCCGACTGGTCCCTGGCCTACCTTGAGGTAAACTGCCATAATCCAGAAGTGCGTTTGCCATAGCTGATTGGGACTTTGGGATTCCTGCGTTTCCTGTTTCTGTTTACTGCACCAAAGTGAGATGCTGAGCACTCTCCGGGAGTTACGGAATAACTTCACTTGGACGTAAGGACACTTACAAAAGAAAACACTTGAGGGTTTTGAGCGCTTGAAGGACTTGCTCTGTGTTTCGCTACAGCAGAGTGGGCGGGAGTATCAACCCAGAGCCAGAATTCATCTGCCTTTAATGCCCATCCCCAGACAAGCCAGCTAGTTCAGGTAGAAAGCACCACTCCAGGACACTCCAAGACATGAGGGCTTAGGCTGAGAGTGGAAAGAGAGCGAGGAGCAAGACTTCAGCAGGAGCCTGAGGCACCCGTCTTCTACGTTAGGTGTTTTAGGCTTCGTGAAGACCTCTAATGTTTGTTGTTCCTTCAGCTATTCTAAATTTTTGCTGTCCTTTGCTCTTGTGGAAGGAGGATAAGGCAACTGTTGCAGATTAGGAACTTTATCAGCCTTAAATAAAGGGCTAGCTAGGACTGTGTTTTAAAACATCTGAATAGGAAAACATTTCCTCCCTAATTGTACTTCATTGGCTTGGTTTCTTCCTCTAATATGTCCTAAACTGATACCAGAAACAGATATTCATTAAACATAGGTTTAAATTACAGGTGTTTTGTCTGCTCTGAATCTTGGCTAGATATGAAGTATGACTGTTAGTACGCTAGCTAAATTACCTTGGGCAGTTGTGTTTGTCTTTGCTGGTCATTCAAGTATTTTACCATGTAGGCATACCCATAACATATGCTAGCTAGCACATGTTTACCAAGAAGAAATTGAATACAAGGCCATAGTATATCTTTGGATCTCTGGTTATCATCTTTCAGAGTAGCTTAAGTCTGATTTTGTAATTTAAAAAAAAAAAAAACCTTTGAGGCATGTAATTGATTAGGAAATCAAGTCTTTCCCCTTCACAGGAACATAATTTTTTTTTCTAGATGTTTCAGTTTATATTTTCATACATACATCTAAGGGGATTTCAGACCATTCAGTTCAGAAATCTATTTTAAAGCAAAGCTGAATCCTTTACCCTGGAATGAAGGAAAACACAAATTAAGAGAAAAGATACCTTCTGGGTTTGGTTTCTTCTAGTAATGAGGGGGTAGAGTTTTACTTTAATGGCGTTGCAGCAAAAACTCACCAAATGCGGGTTATGTCAGCCAAGGAGTTCATGGATTCATCTGTTAAATCTGAGGCTCCAGATTTTTATATAACAGAAGGACCAAGAGAAGATTATTTGAATTTTAAGAGTGACTGGATGTTAAGCTCAGTTGGTGATTTTTGGAGCCTGATCAAAGGGTGGAGACTTTTCTGCAAAACTGACAACCTGTTTTCTAGATGCAAAGCCACCCCTTGCTTAGGTAGGTGTTCCCCCAGGGACCATGAAGCGAATGATACATCCCTAACGCATCTTGTTTAAAGGAAGCATGTCTGGCTTTTCCAGGAACAATGGGACGTGGCTGGGGTTTGGAGACTGCCACCGCATCCAGCTGAAGTATTACTCTGTGAACGTAAAATAGTGCCAGTGCTTCAAAATTAGCTAAAATATTGTCAGCACCATGGCAGACATCATGGGAACAGTGTGCGCTGCCAAGGTGAAGACCTGGATTCTTGAACTTGGCCTGGCAGCTCACGGAAAAACTGAGCGCAGCTGCGGGGTGGAGGCTTTGCGCGGCTCCCCGGCCTTTGTTGGCCAACCAGGAAAGCGCGCAGGGCTCAGTTGCTAGGTAGCAACCTGTTTTGCTCCTCTCTGCAACCTAAGAAAAAACGGTGCCAGGAAGAGATGACTGATAGTGCTTGCTATTGTTGCTGCTGCAAAATTTCAATGGCTTAACTGAGCTATTTAAGCCTCTGTGCGGTGGATGGTTTCCTCCCTGTGCTGATGGTTTCCTCCTTGGGCTCTTGGCTTTGCGGGGTGGGGGATGGGGGGGTTGGTTTGTGCACTTCAGGTGAAATCTTGAGGTGAAATCAGATGGATTCAGGAGTTGTCACTAATTTCTATGGAGTCAAGACTTCTGCTCTGACTATGTATTAGCTTGTTCTTAGGTAGATCTTGGGGTGTTGTCCCGTTTGGCCAGCCCGCACTGAGGCGTGTATATGTGACATCTTAAAACACTCATGCACTCTAATCCTTCTGATTTTTCTCTTAGTGTATTTAACTAATTCTGGAGAGGTGAGAGTCTCAGCCAGTTTGCCACAAGAGACTTCTTGCAATGCAGGAATCCCTTCTTTTTTCCCCCCACTCAGTGTTGCAGTTCTGCAGTACTTTGAGACCTGGATTAGATGCTTTGTTTCCTGGCCTTTTCCTTTGCGCCAGTTTTTTGTCACTGAGGATGTAACTGTTATTTCTTGAAGAACAAAACCAATACTGACACATCCAGGTTTGATCACTTGTTCTAAGCTCAGATCTGTGCAACTCCAGGCACCATATTGAAATAATGGCAACAAACTAACAGCAGTTTAGAGGTTTATTTCTGAGATGCAAATGCCGGTTGTGTGAATACCTACAAACATCTGTTCAAGTGTTGCTGAACGTTATCTTCCAGTACACTCGGAGAAGTGGCTTGGATATTGTACCTGGCAGGTGGGCATATACTAGGTAGAGAATTGTGCGGCTGTTGCTAGTGTTGTTTTTCTCCCTCCGGTACAGAAAGAAAGGTGTGAGTCTAGAAAGCTTTGAAGCCAGTCTCAAAATTGCTTTCTCGGATATGAACTGTTTAAGAGAAATTCATTGCTGCTATGCTAATAATGACATGAGAAGCTACTTCCCAAAACCAGCATGGGTCTGGTATTGATTTTTAGAATAACAACTAATGGAAGCAGTAGCAAGTCTGCTAAATAACCGTGGAAAGAAAAGGATTAAACGTGCTCAGTTCTACTGCTGTTTGTGTGTGTGTGAGAGAGATCTTAAAGATGATAATGCAAAGGCTGATTGCGTGCATACATATGAGCATCTGCTCAGAAGCTGATAGCTTAAACCTGCAGGTAATGGGTGGAAATGTTGGTAATGCAAACAGGAAAATTTGAACAGATCTGTTACTGGCTATTGCTTGCATGTGCAGTGCTTAGAGAAGAGCCACAAATCTGGCTGCGTGCGTGGCCACATGCAGCATCTCTAAGAGATGCCCCTTGGCTGCCTCGGAGCTGCCGTCGCTCGCAGACGGGGTGCTGCGAGCCTGAGTCCTGGTGCGTGTTCCCTAGGTGCATGGAAGTGAGCTGGAGCAAACGAGAGTGGTTAGAAACTTGTCAGGAACTGCAAGCTTTGCTGGAGAAAGTCTGCTTATCTGGACTTTTTCTGGGCGGGAGACAGGGCGGCCGAGCTGTGTCACCTGCGGCATGACCACTCCCCCAGCCTCGCTGAGCTGCCTCCCACTCGGGAGAAAAGCCCATGAGTGTCTTAACGTGCGGACGGGTGCAAACAGTTGGACCGGAACGGTTTTCCTGGGATGCTAAGCAAAGGAAAGCAGAAATCTAGCAGTTAGTGACACGGCTCGTTTTTTTGTTTCCTTTCTCGTGCGAAGGGCAGGCTGCAGCCATGCAGGCGGAAGCGGACTGCTTGAGCCCAGAAGCGCAGAAACTGGTAAGGCGAGGGGAGGGAGGCGGGAGCGATCTGCTGCTCCAGAGCTCCTCTTGCTTGCCCCATCTTCAGAAGTTAAAACAGTGATTGATCGTGGAAACGTTTGTATTAACCTCGTGCTTCCCTGGCTGTGCAGTCTTTCATCAGGTCTCATGATGTTTACTTAAGTCATGCCCTCGGTTGTGTATATTTGCCGTGAATTTGCATGTGTGAAATATAAAGATTTATTTTTTTCCCCTGAATAGGGACAGTGTCTTTAGTTCCCCTATGTATTTTTCCGATCCACTTTATAGAAGTCCTTGAAAGACAGCCCATAGCGCTTGTGTGTGCTAAAGTGCTTGAGTATTTATCAAACTGCTACGCTCTGCTGTATTTTTTCGCTGCGCGTTGTACAGCTGGACATGCCTTTGCAGCCTGACTTCAAAAGTAAGGGTTGTAGGCACGTCGTGTGTGCGGCAGTTCTGACTTTGGTGGGCGTTTTTAGTTTTGTGTAGTTTGTTTTGGAATATTTGGAACGGTCTGAGAATTTAGTTTCATTTTGGACGTAGTGCTTAATTTACAGCAGCTCGGCACTGGTGGTATTAGCAAAATATTACTGCTGTCGCTGACTGACAGTTGCATAAAGTAGCTAAATTCTTCAAAATGCTTGCAAGCCTCTCAGACCTCCCTTTAAAAACGAGATAATAAAATCTAAACTACTTACTACGCCATTTGGCATGGGAGCGGACATGCCAGCTGAATTTGTTTCGTGTTTTCTAAGCAGAAGTTTCGAAACAGCGCATCCATAAAGCTGTAACGGATGGATTACTCGGCTGCTGACGTGAGCTGTCACTCTCCCGCTTTGCCGTTGTCACCCTGTGAATGAGATGGAAGCTGTCAGACCAGCCCGTAATGGGCTTGTCTGTCTAAATCGTGACACTGGTGCATGCTTATTAGAAGGGAATCCTTACCTTTATAGGTAGAAAAGTCGTAGGTTAACTTTCGTGTACGTGCTGCCCTTTGACGTCGTATGCGTCTAGGAGAGAGGTGAGAGCTATGCAGGATGTGGACTGACCGATGCCCGCGTGATTCATGGGCAGATTGCCCTATGAGCAAGTGGTGCAAAGTGTGCTTATTCCTCAGTAAGGGCAGGTCTCTTTATTTTCCGTGATGTTTATGAAGCATTATAAACTGAGTTAACCTGTAGCCTTGCTAACTCCTTAGCAATAGGTTGTTAGTCTTATTCCCTGGATAACCTTAAATATTTCTTCTACCATTAGAATAAATAACTATGAAATACTTCTGAATCTGTCTTTCAGGAAACTTAATACCCTTAAAAATCCAAACAAAGTAAACTTCATAGCGTTTGGCAATATTCATGACTGACAGAGTGGCTTTAAATGCATCTTAATTTCAAGATATTTTAAAAACTGCTTAACAATTTTTTTTTTTTTTTTAAAACTCTGTTCCTGAGTTGAAACAGCTTGCTATCTGTGAGGTGCTTGTTTTCCTCCTGTGTTTGTTTCATGAGACTCCGATGCAAAAAACATTGGCTGGTGTAAATAGGCTAGTTTGACCTCTAAACATCAATGTCGCTGATAGACCATCTTGTTTCACTGCCGAGGAGCACAGGACAACTCCCCTCAGTCTCCTGGTACTCGCTGATGTAAATTGGCCATTTTCACATGGAAACAAGATAGAGAAAAGCCGAGTGATTTGTTAGTAGCTTTTCGTGACAGAGGCGTTGGCCTGCTGGGTCATAGGAATACTGCAAATCAGGCGCTGCTTGTTTAAAGAAGTTTTAAACTGGTAATGAGTACAACAAACGTTATCAGATTTCTTTTGGCTGACGAAGGGTAACTTAAGGAAGTGGAACGAAGACTAGCTTAACACTTGAGGAAAAAGCCTTTTCGTGCAGGCTATGGATTGGGACAATGTCGGTCATGGAAAAATTACGCTTACACCAAAAGTGAGTTGCCAGCCGCATCTTAAGCGTATTGGCAACAAGTTTAAATTGGTGTGAGAATAGTTCTCAGAGAATTGCAGTTTGCAGGTATAATTTAGTTGGGCAGGCGTGTCTCTTAATCGTTGTGATAATGCAAGCAGAGGGCTTTCTGAGCATGGCTTGCATCGGCAAAATATCGTTTCAGTCCTCCACAAAAAACGGGTGATTACTACTTTTCACTATTAGTCTTAGAAGCCGGTTACTTTGACTACATCTTGCATTAAGGGGTACTACTTAGAGATTGAAAACTCACAAATACAGCTATGTCAAGGTAGTCATTTCTCGCCGCTCAAAAAAAAGCAGCCTAATTTCCTGCCTTTGTTGGCTGTTTCTTGGGGCTTCCAGTTTAACAATGAACTCTTGGACGTTTCGGGGAGGAAAAGCTCTGCGAATGCACACCTTCAGGATGTGTGTCACCTAGTCAAGGCACCTCAATAATTCTCTCATCAACAGGATAATTAATGTGCGGCTTCCCCGTGCTCAGAGAGGACGCTGTGCTCTGGGCCAGGAAATCCTGATTTCCGTATTCTTTGTCTATTATACGTCGGCCCCAGCAATGTTGGCTCTGGGTGCAAACAGGCCTTGCTTGTGCTTGATGAAGGGTATTTAAAAAGGGTGGGTGGGGGAGTAACTCCTGAGTGACTGTAGAGATCCTTCTTCCATTTCTCCCTGCTGCCCCGTATTGCAGATGGGAGGAGGAGATGCTTCTTGCCTTTTCCAGCTAACATAAAATACCTGGCTTTTTCAGATGCAGCTGTACTACAGTAATGAACCAGGTCAACGGGTGCTTAGTTTTTGCCTGTTCAGAGTTGAATTTATTTTACAAGTAAGCTGGCTATGAAACAGGGGTATTGAGTGCAGAGCTGATGGGCCAACAGAAGCAGCAAGCTTTTTATAGTGCAGCCGTGTATTTAGTTTGGGGCTCAGCGGCTACACGTTTTTCTGGGTAATTGCAGCAAATGACAAAAATGCTGCAGGGTATATGGTTTGGAGTATTTAGGCAACTTAAAGGCAACTTTTTTTCAGCTGGTGCTTGTTTCCGTGGTGTTCTCGGCAGTGCGGTTGCCTTCTCCTCTTGGTTTGCCCATGGGGCTTTGCAGAGCCTCGGTAGGATTTTTCTGTGCGATGTGCGCGATAAAGCTGAAGCTGCCAGCTCTCCTTGTCAGATGAGCAATACTTCCTAAAAGGGAAGTTACAGAAGCTTTTTAATGATTGCAGTTAGGCCTCATATTTTATTCTTATGTTTTTGCCAGTGATCTGTCACTTTTGATTGAGGCCTATATTACTCACTGAGTCGCTGCTGAATTTTAGGTGGTTTTTAGATTTCTTCATGTTTCAATTTTAGTGATAATTTTTTTTTCATTTCGAATCTTTTGAATAGTTAATTTGGCAGCCTTGAGACTTGCATTTTAGCTTTTTCAGTCTGAACTGTAAAAGTCTATATGAATTTACTGGTGGTGGTTACCTTCAGCAGCGTTGGGTCTCTTGCAGGATAAGAGTGTCTATCTGTGTCCGCCACCTCCCTTAAAGGTGACTTGGGGCTGGTCTTTGACAAGTTTATCTGCTTGCACTGGAGAAAGGCCAAATTCATTCAGGCAAAGCCTGTTTTGATTTAGTCAGTGACGAGAGAAATGTGAAATTCAAGTTGCAAGACTGTGCAAGAAATCAAGATATTTATAGCACAGAACTGTTAATGTGAAAATAGAGCCGAAGACTTCCCAAGAGCGTGGTTTGGAAGAACTCAGACGAGTTTAGTCATGCCCCTGCTTTTGAGGAAGGGCTCCTTAATAAATCCGACAGTCTTGTCTAAAAGCCTGTAGACAAAACATCGCGTTACAATTCTTCGATTGTCTGTGGCATTTGGCTTGCTGTTGTGGTACTTACTCCTCTCAGTAGAGGAGCTGTGCTTTTGTGCAGTTAAAATCTGTGTGGAACAGTTCCTATTTGACTTCTCATTTTGCTGTGGGATTTACTGGATATTTGAGTTGGTACTAGGCTTTTCGTGTGACTTCTGTAACAGCCTGCACAATTTAAAGTGCTAGATGAATCCCTCCCTGGATCGCTGTTTCCTGGAATTTCTCTGATCTCATGAGTGATACCTGGTTTGTCACCAAAGCTGCTCCTTCTAATTAAGTGACACTATCAATTAAAGCATGGTAAAACCGGGTTATGAAGAACTTGCCTTGTTCATTTAATGACCAGCCTGACTATAGCAGAGTACCTTCTTGAAGGCTCTCCAGACGCTTGCGTGGAGCTTCAGCTGAACAGGAGTTTTAAACGTCGAGGTAAGATAATTACCTTGTGCAGCTGTGTGTCTATTTTTGCTCTTTTTCAGATAATGACTTTCCTGGGTTCCTGTGAATTTTCTGGAGCTGTTACTTATCCCTAAGTTCTGAGGGGAGGATACATACTGTTTCTTAAATTGATGCATTTGCTCCAGAGCAGAAGTGTCAAAGTGGGAAGTATGTTGAGTAAGAATGCGTTGAAAAGTCTTTCTTAACCAGTCTCACCTGAGGAAACAGAATACGTTTTATTTGGAAATATTTGGTTCATGCTTAATCGTCATCTTAATGATATGGGTACTGCCATGTAGGTAGAGGCTGTTGCTTATTGTATTGATCGTATCGCTCCACTGAGAACTTGTTCTCCTTGCGTGTTTGTAGTCACATGTAGTCTCATTTTACTGCTGATTTGAAAACTTGTTAGGGAAGGATGACCTGTTTCTTAAAAACTAGCTTTGTCTAGCACAAAGGAGTTGGTGTCTCTGTTGGAAACCCTGATAAAAATAGTAGTGCAGGCTTCTGGATAGTACCCAGGCACTGTCCTGAGCGTGTTTAAAAATGTAACAGCCAATGTATTTGTAGCATTCAATTCAAAATACTGGACATTAAGGTAGTAACTAATAGCCACCTTCAACCTTGGAGGTTTTCAAGACCTGACTGAACAAAGCCCTGAGAAACGTGGTCTGGACTGGATGGTTGACCCTGTTTAGGGCAGGAGGTTGGACTAGAGACTCCCGAAGGCCCTTCCAGCCTGAATGGTTCTGTGATTCTTTGCTTTGTTGCGTTAAAAATGAGTTATTTTAAAGTACTAATGTTCTGGATGGAGTAACGTTGTGTTGACTTCTTGCAAAGGTACCTGTATGACATGTGCTAATTGTGGAATTTGTTACCTTAAAAAGTTTAAAAGCTATTTTCAAGGATCTGGAGTGTATTGATCTCGTTTATACTTACAGATATTCAATGCTAAGGAGCCATATGGCCGTGAAAGGAAAAAGCGTACTGGTTCCAGGATGCAAACCACTGTTAGTGAAAGATACTAAGCAAAAATATATTTTTACTCTTGCATGACTTAGAGGAGTCAAAATTGACTTGACATGAGCAGGTGGAGGACTGCAAAGCTGAAACAGAGTAACTCAGAGACAGCCCTTGGGTGGGCAGGTACAAATGTGTCGCTTAGGACTGAAATGTTGTTATCATATGTAGGTAAGGTCATTTACTATGGTGTTCCACACAGAAATTTAATTTATTGCAGTTGGTAATGGTATCTAGGGAACTGGTGAGCCTTCTTTTCAAGGAGGATCTGGCAGAATTTGCAAAACATTTATTTCATTTTTCACGTTGCTTCATTGCATTGTTGTGTTTCCTCTGGAGAGCATACGGTTCTGTGACACAGCTAGAAAGCATCTGAATCTTCTGGTCCTTGTAATACAGGGAAAACAGAAGGGGTAATGTATATGTGTGTGTGTTAAGCACAGTATCTGCATATGGGCATCTAGCGCTCAACCAGTTATTGAAATTCATAAAGATATCTACAATAATTTTAGTACCCAACTAAACTTGTTTCTGTCTCTTCTGGCAGGAGGGAAATTATAAGAGAGTTATGTATTGCTCAGGTTTTTTTTGCTTATGGAGATTTCGGAGTTCTTTGTTTTCCTTATGGGAAAAATGCAGCTGCTAATTTGCATTGATGTTATTCTTGCCTTTGCCCAACTCAGTCCTGGGCTTTTTAGTGTACTCTAGCGCAATTTTCAAATATATCTACAGAGGTAGGAGAGCTTACTTTTTTCCGTTTCATGCGGTTTCTTAAGATCTACCGTTTGTGTCTCAGTGTGCATAAACGCTTCTCTAAATTGTAAGAAGTCAAACATATTGTTTAAAGCTGTATCTCCTGTTCTGTGTCTCTGTGTCCCAAAAAGTACTTTAATAAGCTGGAGTCCTAGGAGCAACTTACTCTTCCGTAGAGTGCAATAGAGTGCATGCAGCAGTGCTGTAGGTTGCTGGTATTTCGTATCATACAAATCATCTCACAGCTTCCTGCGATGAATAGTGCAGAGTAGTCCTTATCCTTGTATTTACAGTGGTACCTTCTGTAAGATGGATTTACTATAGTGTTTTCCGAGGTATTTAAATTTATTTTCAGATAAACAGAACTGGCTAATGTAATAAAGTCAATCCAATGCTCACAGAAATACTGTGATTTCTTGAGCGTAGGGTAAAAAAGTCCTTTCCAAAGGACATCTTATAGCGTGTTTATACAGTGGGTGCCTTAAAAAGATTTCAAACATTGCGGGTAAATTATAATACTGCTTGGCAAGGTTTCTGACTAATATTTGTCCAGTGGCAGGGCTGTGGTATTTGGACAAACTCTCTTCCAGGTTGGCAAGTGCTGTTTAATCCACAGTCACTTAAAAATGTTTGTGATAATACGTGCCTTTTTACGTTCAAGGCTGGCCATGCCGTCACTTGGCTCTAGAAATAACAGCACTCGGAGATGACGGAAGCTGAATGTTTCCAGGCCCTGAAGTGGAGGTCTCATAGAGGTACAAGAGTGCAGGTGTATTTTGCAGTGTCTTTCCAAGGCAGAGCCAGTTATCTTGAAATTCAAACAGTGAAATAAAAAGAAATCGTCACTCTATATAAAACCAGCACAGTCGCCTTGCTCTTTCTGCCGTGGGCATTTTACCTTCTCTAGAAGGCTTTCGGTCGTTGCAAGTAATTTCTAAAGCTGAAGCCATCTGTGCTGTGAGAATTAAACTTGGTTCCTTTAAATGTATTGTATTTGCCCAGTAGGGAGCTGAAATAGTCATCAAAATGAATCTGCCTGCAAAGCAGTTAAATTTTAGGGGCGATGGAACTAAACGGAGGAGAATTTTGATAACTGAAGGACATCAATGTTGGGGGGTTGGTTTGGGATTTGTGTGTGTGTGTGTGGTTTTGGGGGGGGGTGGGGGGTGGCAGCCTCTTTTCCTTCCAGTTTGAGCGGTGAATATACTTAGGGGAGAAAGGAACAGCATCGTTTTGCAGTTTTCCTCCTGTTTCACCATCCTGAGCTAAGGAACAAGCTGATGTTCTGATTCCCGGTGTGCTCGACCTTAATATCGTGGTAGTTTTTCCTGTTGAATTGGCTATTTCACTTACAGTAAACAGCTTTAGGAATGGAGGAGTTCGGTGCAATCCCAGAGTGACTAATTAGAGCTATTCTTAATCGCGCTGGGTGAACTGCTCTCGATCAGCGCAGTATCGAGTCTGCACCACCTTTTCATTTTCTGTTCAACGCTTTCTGGTTTTTTTGCCTGGCATTAAAAGCAGGGTATTAAAAATGTTACTTTAAAGCATGTTTTGGCATGTCTAACCCTGTGGAAATGAGGAAGCACTGTAGATGTCACGAGAGGCCCGTTCTTGGCAGATTTCCACTGTAGCGAAGTTTGGACTTGAATAACAACGTTTGGCCGCTTCAGTCCAGCCGGTGCATTTTCTCTGGTTTCCTCCTCCATCGCCCCAGTCATTTCAGGCTTAACTGTGCGTAGTCGGGCTGAACAGCGCTGCGCGTCTAAACGCTGTGTTCGTGCGTGCACCGTGTCAGCTGCTGGGAAAAAAGGTACATAATGCGTTTGCTTTTGGTCAGATGAATTCCTCAATGGAAAGTAATATGCACTGCAAAAGGAGGAAGAAAAACAAGCAAAACCTGTCTCTCTCAATAAATAAATAAAGGTGTTTTCTCAAGACGAGTGTTTCCTTTCTCTCCATGCAAATAGTAATTAAAAAAAAAAAACGCTGAACAAACCAATCCACAGAGCACTCTTAAACGCAGCTGCTAACTGAGGGTAGTGCCTACATGAGGGTGTATTACCTGCCTGTGAAGCATAACAAATTATGGAAGGCAGGGCCTTTACTTGCAATAGGGAATCAACTCCTACGGACCTGTTTACAGTCTTGCCGAGCCTAGTCACCTTATTTCGTGCCCTGCTTCCCGTTGAATCGTCTGGCTTTCGTTTCATTGTCATGTTCCCCTTTGCAGGCTGAAGCGAGGCTCGCAGCGAAGCGAGCGGCGCGGGCGGAGGCACGGGAGATCCGAATGAAAGAACTTGAGAGACAGCAAAAAGAGGTATGTTCAAAGCTTTTGGGGAGGTCTTTTGACCATCTTGTTCCTTGAATGTAATCCAAGATCCTGGGACAGAGGGTCAATCTTTGTATTGCTGAAACATTAATAGTCTGCATGGAGCTAGTGTCGCTCGGTTAGTTGATTATAGGATATGAAATGGCCTGAAAGAAGAGGGACTGTGGTGATAATTTTATCTCGGTGAACCCAGTGTAATTATTCACAACGAACACAGATGGTTAGTTTGTAATCGTTGGTTTAAGTGGGGTGTTGGGGGTGGGGGGGGGGTGAGTTCCTAGCACTTCATGAGAAATCTCCTAGTGAATATGGAAGAGTCTTGGCGCTTCTGTAACTCTTTACTTGCAAATAGTTTTGCTTTGTGCCACGAAGCTGGCACTGTGGTCAGTCCTGTTCCTAAAAGTGATGATCTGCTGTTGGCAGAAGTAACGACAGAAATTGAACTTGGCAAAACCTTGCCTTTCCCAAAGTATTTGAGTTAAATCCCTAGTGTAGTCTCTCCTGTATCTTGGAATAGCTATCTGCTTTATACTATCAGCAAAATTACTGTGCCTCTGTATGTCAGTGTGTAGGATATTAGAGGCTTCCAGTGAAGGAATGAACTTCAATGATCTTAAAGACCAAAAAGGCTTGTTCTCCTGTTGCGTTTGACAAATAGGACCTGTACTAAATGTCCTTCCCTCCGCACCAAGAAACTGAGATCATCACTTGTGTTCGAGTTTTAGAAGCTGAAAGGAGTCTGAAAGAATGTAGCTACAAGCACAAGTTGGTAGAGGTGACTGAACCAGTGATGAGAACCAGAAGGGTTTAAAACTTGCTTTTGTTGATATACCTACTCTGCTGATTCATTACATGCAGAACAGGGCCAATAGCAATCCTAAGTTACTTTCTGGAAACAAAATAAATTTTGAAGGGAGGGGAAGAATAAAGGAAATTAAGGGGGAAAAATAAAAGGAAAGAATAAATATACATGTCTGATTTCAGGTGGAGAGAGAAATCCAGTTTAGCTTTTAAACAGCAAATCAGGTTCTGGGAGCAGACTAGTGCTGGTGCAGGCTGCAATACTCAGCCAGGAACAGGAGCAGTACTTGGGCAGTTTGCCCAGACTGAGCTTTGTGCTTGGAGCATCTTATCTAGTTGAGGCATGCTTGAATGTGTCTTAACACACTGTAGCCCCAGCAAGGTTAGAGGTACCTTCAAACACACCAGAAATAACAGCTGCTGGGAGCATTGCTAGCAAGTATGATGCTGGTGGAAGAGAGGGGGCTTGTTATTCTACAAATCCTTCTTGAACGGTGTTTTTTTGTAATCTAGGCCACAGTCGAAAGGCCCGGACTGCTGAAAAGCATTGGTCCTTTCGAGCTTCCTGCTGCGCCTACAGCTGGAGCGATGGGATTTGTCTAGCAGCCTTGGAAAGATCCATGGCAAACAAAAATGATGCCATAGGTATTTGGGCAGCAAACTAAATATGGGTGCCGTGGCAGCTGACAGTGGTGCCATCTAATTTTAGATGGCTTTAATGCACCTGACGACCCCTTACCTTCAGAGATTAACAACTGACGCTGCAAAGAAATTTCCACTTTCCTATTAAATGGAAATTTGGCTGTGGAAGCTAACTCTTGAAAAGATTGTGTGTGTGCTCCTGCAGATGATAATTGAAGAACTAGTGAACTGAGAATTTGGGAAGATCTTTTTGTATAAATAGGAATTGAATGGTACAAAGTGTCATTCTAAAATACCAAATTCAGTGCAAGCTAACCTGAACAAGTATTGTAATCTGTTACATAACTTCTTCCCGTGAATTATGAAATGTGGCTATACGTTTATTTAATGTTTTGCAAGCTTGGTCATCCTGAAAACTTTTCAGATACCTTAATCTCAGCCTCCAGATGCAAGGCAGAGCTAGTGAGGACGGCTGCAACGAGCTTTCCATTGCCACAAGTATCTTGCAAACGTGGAAAGAAAACCTAAGTGAAAAATATTCCAAGTAGCAATCAGTGCAAGAGATTTGGCATCTACCCCATCTTTGGAGGAGAACCTACTGTGATACTGGTGTCTGTACAGCTTGTTGCCTGCCATTTTCACTTTTCTTCGCAAACTTTTTGGAGTAATAAATAGCACATTTCACACAACTGCCATGCTGAATAACCAGGCTTTGAAGCGCTCGCTTTATTGCTTCAGAAGGCTTTTTAGAGCCAGTTGCAGGAGTTAAAAAGCAATAAATAAATTTATTGCATGTGCATGTACTTGTTCATGTTTAAAGCAATGTACATGCTCTGACAGGCTGCTTGTGCAGCATGGATCACTTGAGAATATATATATTGTTGATCTAGGTTAAAAGTTTCCAGATGTTACCATTACAAGCTATAAACATGGCAGTATAGCTCTCACTGGCAGCCAAGTGGTTTAATGATTTGGATTTGGTGACTGGAAATTGTCCACCATCTAGCATTACAGAAGTTTCTTAATCCTGGGCTTCATTTTCCTCATCTTAAAATAATTGTGTAAATTTTGCATCATGAGTTTACGTATATGACTTAACTAATATTTTACTTGCTATTACAAAAGAAATTCCAGCAAAAAAAGCACAGGATGGGTGAAATTTTGGTTTTCTATCCTGTGAATATTTTTGTATGCAGCACGAGCAGTGCTTTTATTAGAAAACTATTAAAATGTCATGTTCTGTATTGTGTAGGCTATAAATGTGTGAAGACTGCACCAAAGATTAGTCACAACTGTGTAGTAAAGCTCATCAGTAAGCGGTGGGCAGTACATGATCCAGTACCAAGCTCCTCCTGTTTTGGCAGAAATTTAGTGTAGCGCACATAACTGAAAAGCACAGGAATTGCTGCATAGTTGAGTCTTTCTTTTGAAAACTGAAAATTGAATGCACCTTCAGCCACGTTATTATTCAGTTCCTTTCCTTTCAAAAGGGGCATACGATTCGGAGCTCATCACAGGCAACCGGATTGCAGATGATAGTGAGCATGCTCCAAGTGGTAGATTGAGTACATTTATTTTTGCTCTGAAATGTAAGATTATCTAAGAATTCTCGTGGAAAATGTTCATGTGAAACGATGTACTGCTATAGCCGATTATTAGCAGAAATAGGAGCACTTTTGAAAGCAAACACTCTGAATTACCCTGCCAGCTGTAGAAGGCTGTTGCTGTTAGCTGTTGTTCAGCGGGATTCCAGGTGGCTTTGAGAGGTGGTACCACCTCACCACTCGGTATCGTCTCGTGGCAGGCAGCAGAAAGAAGGTAAGCATGTGCATGTGTTTGTAGGGAGAGGAGGGTAAGCAGCAGAGCACAAATAGCGGTTTATTAGGAAGGGAAGGGAGGTAAATGAATCATGTCCTCTGAAGCTCAAGAAAGGAAATGAGTGCAAGAATCGGGGTCTGTGACGTGCTGATCTATGAAGATAAGGGTAATGGTCAGTCTCACTCTCTACGGCACAGGTCTTATCGAGGTATAAACATAACTACTTGAATATTTCTGGCTTCTCCTTCTATGCTGCTGCGTTGTTGTTGAAGATTGATGCACCAAAGATGTAAAGGATCAAACTGGAACTCTCTGTAGGCTTTTTAGCATCCTTCGGTGCATGGTAGGTCAGCACAGGAGAGCTCTGGTGAAGCAAACGCCAGTGTACTTCCTCCATTGAAAGGGCAATTGTAAGAGATGATGCTTCCTGGCCCATCTCCCTACTACTGGTACCCAGCTGCTGGGAGTTATAGCAGTGATGAACCCTGCCTTTTCCCATACTGCACTGTCATGGTCTTGACTTGCAATTGCAGAGTCTTAAGGTCAGTCCATTTACTACGCACTTTACAGTTGTTTGGTACTGAGATAAATGGTTGTACAGATATTTAGTTTTAATTAATACAGCAGAGCAAATCCAGAGTTGGCTCAATTTTTGAGTAGTAAATTGCTCACTCTAGGAGTTACAAGGTAAAATGGAGAGAAAAATATTTTTTCTATGTATGGTTTTTTTTCCCCTAGAAGCTTGGCATAAAATATATTAAAGCCTTTTCTTTAAACAAAGATTTTTCAGTAATGTTTCAAGACACTTAAAAGCTGCAGCATTAGGGGTAATTGTCACGAAGGTTTTATGTAGGAGTACTTTCTGCGTGTTCTGCTGGCGAGATTTTAAATGTCTCTTCAAGAATGCACACTCAGAGACCACTGTTTAAACTGATATTAAGCCTGAAGTGAAAAGAGAATATTCTTCTCCCACTCTTTAATCTGCGGAAAAAGAGTCTAACATGCCAGTTCACCCAGCAGATGCGCTTGTACTTCTAGTTAAAGGCAAGCGCGTTGTGCTCGTCTTCCCACTTCATCTTCAATTCTGACTTTAAGAGCATAATGCAAAGAACTTCCCTTTGCTGTCTTTTAAATTCATCCTTTACGAGCCTGCTTATTTGCACATACTCCTGTTCCTCCTTTGGATTCATATTCAGAGTAAAACACGTTACCAGTATTTTCTGCAGTGGGTTTTTTCTCTGTTCTTTGAGGTTGTCCATGTAAGTGAACTAAAATCAAGTTAACGTGGGCAAAGGGCTTGCAAAAACACTCCTGATGTCCTTAAGGGCCCTGCTGATTGCGACGCAGGCCACTTTCTTCCCTTGCTTGGCCTCAGTGTCCACAAGTCTGCCCTGGCACAGCTAGCGCTGGTGGTTGTCTGAATCTGGCAGGGCCGGGAAACCAGGAGTCTAGCGCTTTGGGCAGGAGGGAAGAGACTGCTTACGAGACTTGGTGCACGCGTACCCAGGGAAGAAATTGAGTGCATGAAGCGTAGTCTGTGTCTGTCTTACGTGCCTAGTGTGAAAGTGCATAGGAAGACTCAGAGAGGGGCAGCGTTGAAGGTGTAGCTGTATTCAGTAGACTTTGAATTTCTGCCTTCTGCTGCCACCTAACTGTGCTTAACTAGCTTGTTCTGTCCAGTTTTTAAGTTATTTCTGTGCAAAACTACTTTTGTAGGGAGCTTCGTGTGGTGTAGAAACCAGGAAAGCAGTCTGCCACTAATAGAGTGGACAAAACACATTTTTTGGTGATAGCACGATACAGGAGAGTGCTGCTGAAGACATTTGCTGGCTTAGAAGTCTATTGACTCCGTTAAGCTCTTTGCAGGGGGCCATACCTGCAATAGCCATTACTGTTGAGAAGTTTATTGCTGCCGTTACATGCTGTGCAACAAGGACAGTACACTGACCAGAGAAGAAATCAAACACTTCAGAGCAGAGCTGTTGCAAAGCTTGTTAGCTAATGCTAATGGCTGATCAAAAATGCCAGTTTTTATCAAATGCTGGAAGAGTTGCCGTGGCCCACTTGGCTTTGCCAGCGCCCATCACCACCACCCGCCGTGGTGTCCGGCCCTAGACAAGGGCCGTGCTGTTATCCTAGCCACAGGCAATCAGTCCAGAGCACAAGACCTCTTCCGTCTTGCTTTGACTGTACCCAAGGGGAATACCAGCTGTGCCAAACTGTTATCTCTAAGCTGTACAACAACTATCAGAAAGCACCTGCATGCAAATGTTTCCGGTCTGCCCCAAAACTTGCCCTTGCATATTATCCAGCCCTAGTAAGAAGCATTTGCAAACAAGCAGATTATGGATGAAACAACGGCATGGAGAAGTGAAAACTCAAAGGTAAACAGCCAGCTAGTAGCTGCCACATCTAAAATGCAGTGGTGTCTGGCTTCTGTGTATGGGTAAAAGGCACTCTGCGTGTACAAGAGAGCAGGCAAAATCAGAGTCTGCAGACACCTTGGAAGCTGCGGGAAGCTTAAATTCATTTTCCTCTTGGAGGCTTTCTTGGTGAGATAAGCGAGGTGATTAGTTGTGTGGGAATGCTGGTTTTAAATGTGGGTCTCAGTTATCCCCTGTGCGCTTGTAGGAATAGGAATGAATACTTCTGAGACGTTGAGTAGGACTCTGCAGTTGCCCTTCCCAAATCGGGGAGCCTGAATTGGTCGTAAAGGCAGGAGTGGAAAGGAGTCTGACTTATTGCTAGGAGTTAGGATCTGCGTTGGCCTGGAAGGTCCCAGAAGAGCAATGGAAAGCAAGGATCCTCCAAATCTCCCCAAACCTAGGGGGCTGACCACCCTGCCTTCTTCTGACCAGCCCAAGGGTTGCAGTCAGAGCAACCTGCTGTTCCCCCTGGGTTGCACTCCTAGAGCGGAGGGTTAGCGTCGATATTTGTTCAGCAGCAGCGCGTGTCTGGGGAGATGGGCGATAAGGCTGTGTACTGCTAAAACGGTATGAGACGGCAACAGTTTTTTAGAGGCAGCAGCGTGTTCATTAGTGTCCGCAAATGGTGCAAGGGTCACTAGAAACTATTAAAAATTGAAAAAGCAACCCGCAAAGAGCATGTTTTAATGCTGCTGCTACCACTTACGATATACGGGCACGGAAACGTTCAGAACGTTTCAGCAGGCTGGCGCTTTCCTAGGCGGTGAGAGACGGAGAGTGCCAATGCTTTCGGTGACTGCTTGGTCTGTTCAGGACAATTTCTGTCCTGCACAGAAGGAAAGATTTTTCCATAGTTAAAGCTGTTGTGCATCTACCATAACAATAAAAGCAAACTGTCGTTGCAGGTGAATATTTGGGCATCTATTACTTTTCAGGAGGGGGATGGGAAAGGCAAGTGGTCTTAGCTTACAGCAGGATTACTCTCCTGGCTGGTGTGAAGTCTTGGAAATGAAAGTTGCATGGAGCTCAAAATGCCAAGTGGGTATATAAACAGGAACGTTGCGTTTTAGCTAGCCGCGGAGGCCTGGGATGCGAATGCTGCTTTCATTTTACCTGACTTTGCAGGGGTTTTTAATGTGAATTGTTTTTTGTATTC